CACACACACACACACACACACACACACACACACACACACACACACACACACACACACTGTGTGTGCATTCACATTGTGCTTCAAGTTACATTTAATAAATAGAACGTGCGCTTGGATTACTGGCCATAGCAAGGAAAAACCATGCTGAATTAATTTTTTTCTTCTATTTTTTAGACTTGTTTCTTGCGATCCATGTTCGATTTAATCCTCCGTTTGTTCTTAATAATATAACCATGATGTAGAGCAAGGGTCATGGGGAAGGGGAGGGGGATGTGAAAAGGGCGATATGAGGAATTTGATCGTAGATTTAGTGTCTCTCTTTCTGTCTACAAACAACGAAATTAATGGGTTTTTTAACAGTGAACAAAAGTCACTGCCATAATAATATAGTGACCTGAATCACTTTTTGAAAAAGGAAACAGTTTTGTTTAAAAATTTAAAGAACAGTATATCGTAAAGAAGAACAAAGCTTTACGCCAACGAGAGAGAAAAAAAGGAAGGAAAACTGTGATAGTAAAAAAAAAAAAGAGAAAAACAAAACAAAACAAAAAAGAAAAGTGAACATTGAAATATAAAAAAAAGAAAAGAAAAAAATATATTATGTAGACTAAAGAAAAAGATAAGAAAAGAAAACAAAGAACAAAAACATAACCAAAATTAAATAAAAAGCAATAGATTGTATCCAACTGACCTGAGTTGTCTCTAGCAAGGGCAAAGTCTATGGTGAAGATTCCAGGGCGTGCCTCCCTTTTTTATACCCCCGCGCTTTGTTACTATAAATTGCCTCCCCTTCCCTCCTTGAGCAACTGCCTGTTGTTCCAGTTTCTCCAGGCTTGCTCTCAGGAACCTGTTCCTCCTCCCAGGGACCCGGGTAGTGGACGTGGTGACGTAGACACTTGGCTGACCGGTCTTTGCAATGACTAGACGTTTGTCTTCGGGGTGGATCTGGGGAACGGTTTTGCCGTTTTTGTCGCTGTAGTCGAAGTATGTTGTTCTAGAGTCTTTGTATGTCTGCGTGCCTGCCGGCCAAAGCGGCCTCGTAAATTCACGGCTTAGCTTATAGTTACAGATGGCAGGTTTGGGGTTCTGGTCTCAGTGGCCCAGAATTTTCCTTGTGGGTGGTTGGCGGGTTCTCCGATGTGGTTTGCTCCTTCTTTCCTATCAAACAACTATCGTCTTTATCTCTCCTCTTTCTTTTTTTGTGTGTTTGTTACTCTCTTGTAACACTTCTTATCTTCGGCACTTTTATGACCTTATTGTGTTGCAAGTGCCGTAAAACTCTTTCTAAAACTAAAAATCCTGGATAAAGTGATCGAAACACCAAGACTAGCGCTTTGTTGTCGTGATGACTCAAATAGTGCCCAGAATGAGGTTAAATGTCGGGTGTCCACGTGAGAAATTCGAAGTATGTCATGTTGTATGTCTTATCACGGCTGGACTTCTGCGGGAGGGGAGGGGGTATCGTTTTCTCTTATATATGTGAATATGTTAGGTGGGGGAGAGGAGGGGAGGAGGGACGGGTTTTATTTCTTAAGTAAGTGAATTCAGCTAAAAAAAAATGCTCAATGCACATACGTTAAAGGTGCCAGAAACCAAAGTCTTAGTTTTTGTGTTATAAGGTTAGCACCCCCCCC